TATTCTACTTAATCTTGATTTTTAAATGAAAATCAACTTTCCATTGGAGCATTTAAAAAATAATAGAAGAACTGGAACGATTCCAAGATGGCTGACAATTCGTATCGCGTAAGTGACTCGACTCGTAATTTATTATATTAAAATAAGCCTATAGGGGCAAATATTAATCGAAAATTATGTTCAAAACTACTATATTTATAGGAACAAACGTAAAATAACAGTAAGATCTTGAATTAAATATTCTGAAACAGATTAAATGTCAGTTTTAAGGAACTAGAAAGATTCCAATATGGCTGACAACTTATATGACGTAAATGGTTCACATCATGACTTATTATATTGAAATAAGCCTGTAGTGGCAAATATTATTCCAAAAATATGTTTTAAAATACTATATTTGTAGGAACATACGTAAAATAATACAAAAATCTTAAATTAAATGCTCTGAAACAGACTAAATGTTAGTTTCAAGGAACTAGAAGGATTTCAATATGGCTGACACGTCATATGGCGTAAATAGTTCACCTCGTAAGTTACTGTATTGAAATAAGTCTATAGAAGCAAGTATTATTCAAAAACTGTGTTCCAAACCACTTTATTTAAAGGAACAAATGTAAAATAATAAAATAATACAATAATTCAATTACTAGATACATACAAAACTCGAAATAAAAATATCTAGAAAACGAAGGGCCACTATGAAGGAACCTACTACAGTTTTTTCATACTAGGTATTATAACTGGTACGTACTATCGTTTCAAACACAATTTCCACTATCGTAGGGTTCCCTTCTGAGTATCCCTGTGACCACTTCCGGATAACTTCGCGTTTGTTTAGGATCCAGCTTGGTTGATCCATTACTGCTGAAATTTATCTCACAAATACATGGATTTTGACTTTTATATTTTAGTGATTTGATTATTGTTTCGAAGTATTTCCTTCGATAATAGAAAAGTTAATAAAAAGATCTTGAATGGAATTCCAAGATGGCTGACAACTCGTATCGCGTAAGTGAGACAACTCGTGATTTATTATATGGAAATAAGACTATGGAGGCAAGTATTACTCGAAAATTATGTACAAAACTACTGTATTTATAAGAACAAATGTAAAATAGTAGTAAGATCTTGAATTAAATGCTCTGAAACTCACTAAACGTTAGTTTAAAGAAACTAGAAAGATTGCAAGATGGCTGACACCTCACATCGCGTAAATTGGTCGACTCGAGATTTATTCTATTGAAATAAGACTGTAGGACCAAATATAATTTGAAAACTATGTTTTAAAATACTATATTTGTAGGAACAAACGTAAAATAATTCAAAAATCTTGAATTAAAAGCTCTAAAAGTAACTAAATGTTAGTTTTAAGGAACTAGAAAGATTCCAATATGGCTGACAAGTTATATGACGTAAATGATTCACTTCGTGACTTATTATGTTGAAATAAGACTGTAATGGCATATAATATTCGAAAACTATGTTTTAAAATACTATATTCGTAGGAACAAACATAAAATAATACAAAAATCTTGAATTAAATGCTCTGAAGCTGACTAAATGTTACTTTCAATGAACTAGAAAGATTCCAATATGGCTGACAACTCGTACGACATAAAGAAACCTACTACGGTTTTTTGATACCAGATACCATATCTGGTATGCACTATCGTTTCAAACGCGATTTCCACTAAGGCAGGATTCCCTTCTGAGTATCCCCGTGGCCACTTCCGGATAACTTCGCGTTTGTTTAGGATCCAGCGTCGATGTTGCGCCTGAATTTACTTCCCATATTAGCCGTTCGGTAATCCATTCGGGTATTTGCATAATAAATGTCCACGGATGGATGATACATCGAGCCGGCCGAGCACGGGTAAACTCGGTAATCTGTAATATATCCGCGCGTACGCGCACATAATGCGCGAAAATGTTTGCAATCTAAGGCTCGAAGATAAAGTATGGCGCTGAGTCGACTCGTAAAGTCGCTCCCGTAGTCTTCCAGGCGTCTTGAAATATTAGGATGTCTCGGCGAGTATTGCGCGTTTTAGTCACTTTGCGTCGGGGTTATTTATCTGGAAAGGGTAATACGGGCACGGTTTATTCCACCGGGGCAGTGGAACGGGGAAAAAAATAAGAAAAAGTTACGTTTCTAGTTAAGTATAAACAACTGTCATTCCTGGAAACTTTATGCCCCTCGAGTTTATTCGTACTCCGGGGCTGGGGGGTCTGTTAGGCGAAGCAGCGCGAAATTGTGCGTTCGTATGTTTCGCGGGGACTCTTCAGACTTGTACGTCTAGTAATTTACAGGGATTTTAGGAGTTTTTTTTCGCCCTCTGGGGAAATAATTAATTTGTTTGAAGGATGTTCTCATAGTTGTGATCTTGAATTTTAATTTGTGGGGAAATTTATTTTAGTGGCTAGTGAAATATTGCAGGGGAAGTACGTTTTTGTAGATGGTTAGCAGACTAAATATAGTAATATTTAATTTATTTTTTTTTTTCGTTATTATTGTAGGAATTTTAGTTTTAGTTTATTTTAATTTAATTTCTGCCATAATTTAGTTTACTTTATATCTTCCTATGAATTGTACTTTTTTTTGTAGTTTCAATTTAATTTCTGTTTTATTTTAAGTTAGCTTACTCTATTTCACTATATGAATTTTAATTTTTTTTTAGTTTTACTTTATTTCAATTTAATGACTTTTATATTGTAGTTTATTTTATATCATTCTATGAATTTTACTGCTTTTTTAGTTTCAGTCAGTTTCAATTTAATTTCTGTTTTATTTTAGGTTAGCTTACTTTATTCCACTAAATGAATTTTAATTTTATTTTACTTTCACTTTATTCGACATTCTAATAATAATACTTCTAATTCTTAGTTCCAAGTAAATCTAAAACCTCAAGGTGAACCTAAAAATTGAAGCACAGAATATTTCCTAAAAAAACTTAGAAATCTCTCAATCCCACCTACACATTCATCCCACGCACGAAAATTTATTCTCCCAGTTTCGATACCCACGGTCCTCGCGGGACGATAGTTTTAATAAATCAAGGTTTCCAAACTGCACGAAACTTTATCCAGGACAGTCACGCGTTATTAACGGTTTCCGGGATCGAAATTTGTAATTCTGCAAAAACCCTCTCAAAGATTCTCTGTGATCATTAAGTGGACTCTCAATCCCTATTGTTCTACTTAATGTTTATTTTTAAATGGAAATCAACTTTGGAGCATTTAAAAAATAATAGAAGAATAGTTTTAAGGAATTGGAACGATCTCAAGATGGCTGACAATTCGTATTGCGCAAATGAGTCGACTCGCGATTTATTATATTAAAATAAGACTATAGGAGCAAATATTATTCGAAAAGTATGTTTTAAAATACTTTATTTATAGGAACAAATGCAATATAATAGAAACATCGTAAATTAAATGTTCTAAAACTGACAAAATGTTAGTTTTAAGGCACTAGAAAGATTCCAAGATGGCTGACACCTCACATCGCGTTAATGGTTCACTTCGTGACTTATTATATTAAAATAAGCCTATAGAGGCAAGTATTACTCGAAAATTATGTTCAAAACTACTGTATTTATAGGAACAAATGCAAAATAATCGAATGATCGTGAATTATATGTTCTGAAACTGACTAAACCTTTGTTTGAAAAAACTAGAAAGATTCCAATATGGCTGACAACTTATATGACGTAAATGGCTCGACTCGTGATTTATTATAGTAAAATAAGCCTATAGGGGCAAGTATTACTCGAAAATTATGTTCAAAACTACTGTATTTATAGGAACAAATGCAAAATAATAGTAAGATCTTGAATTAAATGCTCTGAAATTCACTAAATGTTAGTTTGAAGAAACTAGAAAGATTCCAAGATGGCTGACAACTCATATGACGTAAATGGCTCGACTCGTGATTTATTATATTAAAATAAGCCTATAGGGGCAAGTATTACTCGAAAATTATGTTCAAAACTACTGTATTTATAGGAACAAATGCAAAATAATAGTAAGATCTTGAATTAAATGCTCTGAAATTCACTAAATGTTAGTTTGAAGAAACTAGAAAGATTCCAAGATGGCTGACAACTCATATGACGTAAATGGCTCGACTCGTGATTTATTATATTAAAATAAGCCTATAGGGGCAAGTATTACTCGAAAATTATGTTCAAAACTACTGTATTTATAGGAACAAATGCAAAATAATAGAAAGATCGTGAATTAAATGCTCTGAAACCCACTAAACGTTAGTTTGAAGAAACTAGAAAGATTCCAAGATGGCTGACAACTCATATGACGTAAATGGCTCGACTCGTGATTTATTATATTAAAATAAGCCTATAGGAGCAAATATTACTCGAAAATTATGTTAAAAACTCCTGTATTTATAGGAACAAATGCAAAATAATAGTAAGATCTTGAATTAAATGCTCTGAAACTCACTAAACGTTAGTTTTAAGAAACGAGAAAGATTCCAATATGGCTGACAACTCATACAACGTAAATATCTCAACTCGTGATTTATTACATTAAAATAAGCCTATAGCATCAAGTATTATTCGAAAACTATGTTCGAAACTACCACATTTGTAGGAACAAATATAAAATAATTAAATAGGATTACATAAATGTTCAAATAACTGCCTTAACATATATTAATACTCTGATTTTCTCCAAATTATTCCACCCTTGCACGAATTTTAAAAAATTTACGAATAATTTTGTATTTGTTATTACTATCAGTCGGATTGGGAAATTTGTAATTCTGAAAACGCTCGCGAGGATTCTCGATGAACGATTTACTTTGATTCGCAGCAGCGGAATGCTCGCGTCCGTTTAATTGCGTCGTTTGTTCGGGCGATCGTCTCGTTACGTAATCTAATGAAGCGCGTTAAGGAGGGTGGAAAATAACGGTTAATTGATTTGCGTCTAGCACCTTCCGCCCAAGCTACGGCGAGGCTGATGCTGATAAACTTCTGTTTCAGATGACCTCTTTAGTTCCGGAGACACGGCCGCCGACGACACCGAAGGTGAGTCACTTTCAGTCAATTTCGAAAGTTCCCCGGGAACCTGGAGTTTTAATTGAGTGTGTTTAGTATTCATCAGCGATCGAGTTTGAGGGATTAAAGTGAAATTACGCCGGGCGTGTTTGGCGTTTCGTTAACGAACCGACTCTGATTCGAATCGTTCGTACTTTTATCGGGTGGGCGACTCGTCGTTTTCGTCAGTGACGAGGATATTTCGTTCCTCGTGCAGAATCGAGAAGATAAAGGGGAAATCACGGTTCCTTTTAACCCTTAGGTCTCTCAAGTGAATTATTTCTCTCAATATTGATTTTTAACAAATTGGTAAATGGAAATCAACTCTCCTTTGAAGCATTTAAAAAATAATAGAACAGTTTTGAAGAACTGGAACGATTCCAAGATGGCTGACAATTCGTGTTGCGTAAATGAGTCGACTCGTGATTTATTATATTAAAATAAGCCTATAGAGGCAAGTATTACTCGAAAATTATGTTCAAAACTACTGTATTTATAGGAACAAAGGTAAAATAATAGTAAGATCTTGGATTAAATGCTCTGAAATTCACTAAACGTTAGTTTGAAGAAACTAGAAAGATTCCAAGATGGTTGACAACTCATATCGCGTAAATGGCTCGACTCGTGATTTATTATATTAAAATAAGCCTATAGAGGCAAGTATTACTCGAAAATTATGTTCAAAACTACTGTATTTATAGGAACAAAGGTAAAATAATAGTAAGATCTTGGATTAAATGCTTTGAAACTCACTAAACGTTAGTTTGAAGAAACTAGAAAGATTCCAATATGGCTGACAACTCGTGTCGCGTAAATGGTTCACTTCGTGACTTAGTATATTGAAATAAGACTGTAGGAGCAAATATTATTCGAAAAGTGTGTTTTAAAATACTATATTTATAGGAACAAATGTAAAATAATTAAATAATTCAATTACTAGGTGCATACAAAACTTGTAACCGTATATCTCGAGAACAAAGGCCCATTTTAATGTATTATAACTTGTATTATAATCATTTATTATAAGTTACACCCACTAGCGTTTCAAAAGTGATTCTTCTTGAACCTAAAAATAATAAACCAATGGAAGATTACATAAATTTTTAAATAATTTCATCGACGTACATTGAACAATTATTAAGGTTTAAATCAATACTCAGATTTTCTCCACTTCGTTACATCTTTGCACAAATTTTTAAAAATTAAAAACATATTTTTTAAATCGTAAATTTTGTTTGAGATTATTTGTATGATATTTTCCTGTGACGTTGACTTCCGGTTCGTAGGCGTTGTTAATTTAGAATAATAAATTGAAATTTATCCCCGGTTTGGCTTCACGGCTCGGGATTCTGTAACATTTTTCTGTTCGTTTCTCTGTTTCCTGCTCATCGATCGACGTTTATTAATATCGTCGATGAAAACCGGTTGTTTCTCGTCCGTCAATATCGTGTATCCAATAATATGTTTGATAACCCGCGATCGTTTCGCGTGTGCATCAAGGGGAGCATGGAAAAACTTTTTTCCCCCCACCGCGTAATTGGTGTAACACCAATAATTTCCAATCAACGTCGTTGTGCGCGTATATTACAGTCCCAATAAGCGTCTGTGGAATTTTCAAAACGATCCTAGAAAATGGCTCTTCGAAATATTTAATACACTCTAAACCAAAAAAAGTCGATTTTTTGGAATTAAAAATAATTTAACGAATAACGAAATTTTATTTGAAGCTCGGTTAGGAGTAAAAATTATTTTTAAACATTTAAATATTAAATATTGGGTATCATTTGACGATCGTTAATGCATTCACTGTCTGTGATCCATATATGGGTCACACCACCGTGCTATTGGATACGACGCCGAGAGATTGGACAGTGAACGCGTTAATTGTATTTCGCCGAATAAGCGTCTGGGGAATTTTCAAGGCGATCCTAGAAAATGGCTCTTCGAAATATTTAACACACTCTAAACCAAAAAAAGTCGATTTTTCTGAATTAAAAATAAATTAACAAATAAAGTATTTTAATTGGAAGCTTGGTTAGGGGAAAAAATTATTTTAAAATATTTAAATATTAAATATTTGGTATCATTTGACGATCGTTAATGCATTCACTGCCTGTGATCCATATGTGGGTCACACCACCGTGGTATTGAATACGACGCTGAGAAATTGGACAGTGAACGCGTTAATTGCATTTCGAATCAACGTCGTTGTGCACGTATATTACAGCCCCAATAAGCGTCTGGGGAATTTTCAAAACGATCCTAGAAAATGGCTCTTCGAAATATTTAATACACTCTAAACCAAAAAAAAGTCGATTTTTCTGAATTAAAAATAATTTAACAAATCACGAATTTTTATTTGAAGCTTGGTTAGGAGAAAATATTATTTTTAAACATTTAAATATTGAATATTGCGTACCATTTGACGATCGTTAACGCATTCACTGTCTGTGATCCGTATATGGGTCATACCACTGTGCTATTGGATACGACGCTGAGAGATTGGACAGCGAACGCGTTAATTGTATTGTGGTTCGCAAATATTGAACGTGGTATGGTATTACATGTAAACACGAGTAGAGCAAATATAACAATAAATGAATGTGGTTTTTGTGTCCACGGAAAAAGTCTGGCGGGCAATGATTCTTCGTGCAAAGGTAAACGAAAAATGCGCACAGTTTTTGCTACGTTTTCGAGAAATTCTGTTTGTTATTTGATATAGATATTTTTAGTAGAAACGATACTTCGTGTGTCCGGTCGATGTATAAGATTTTACTTTTATCGAAATTGGGTGTTTCTTTGTATCTACAAAACAAAAAAAGAAAAAAAAAATTGTACTTATTTAAGATAACAAAACTCTCAGTATAGGATATTTTGAAATGAAAAATTCATTTTATTTTTGAAGAAAATTCTCATTTTGAAGTGAAAAAATGATAAAATTTTCCTCGAAAGACACTATTAAGAAATTATTCCATCACGAGTTGAATTATACACTTTATTCTTCGATTTTGGATTGCATAAAATTTTATTTTAAATAAAAATGGTAATTCTTTGATTAAAACTATATCGAAAATGTCTAATAAAATTATTTAATACTTCTTTTCAGAGAAAATCTTTAAGTTTCCAAAAAAAATATTTGCTTATCCTGAAAATTTAAAAAATTTTAAATTTTCTACTTTTGAAATATTATCGACATACAAAACAGTAAGATAGACGAAATATAAATAATACAATGGCCACTGTTTGTGTTTACAAACGCTGAAAAAAAGGCAGAAGTGGCTCCGCGTATAAAATACGAAAAATCGATTTCCCCGAAAACAGAGCCCCCGGGCGAAAATATTCTATCCCGAATTTTCGACTTTTTTTTTTTACACGAAAAGTCGCTCACTCTTTCTGGCTGAGCGTTTTCAAAAGGGTTATATTTTCGCGTTCCGTTTTTCCGTATTTAAGCGCCTGGACGTTTCAAATTTTTGAAGATTTATTCGCTCGAAATTAAAATCGAGAATACTCGAGAGATTTTTAAAAGCTAAGTAATTTATATACAAGGTGTGTCGTGCAATCAGGACCGGTTTGTATCTCGAATTTGATTCGAATAAAATTTCACAGAAGAAATATTGCACGTTACAGGTATTTTTTTTTTTTAAATTAAATCATTTTCTTACGCCAATTAATTTTTTGTGCTTGAAAAATATTTTATGCATTCAAACGCGTAAGCCATCGTCGATATTCTTTTTTGCTTTTCAGGGCAGAAATTTTAATCATTAAAATTTCACTTAACGTCGACGTACTTATTAAAAAAAAAATTTCATCAAAAGATTGCATTGAGGGGGATGTAACGTTTTTTTTTTTTTTATAAATTCATCCGTGCGTTTTTAATCATTGACAGATCGATCGTTTCCAAAGACTTCCTCTTCTCGATCAGCTGTTCGTTTCCATTTAAAAAAAAACTGTTTGAAATTTCTGATTCCAAAGCTGTCGATGCAATTTCTTTCCGGTCGAGAAATTTTAGAAAAATCGAAATAGAGGGGAAAGAGGTTCGTTGAGATGGAATAGAATTCTTTTCGCTATAATGTTTTTTAAATAAAAAAAAAACACTCAAAACACGAGAAACAATTTATGAGACGATTTAACGCTAGAAATACCCACAATTATTTATTTATTTGTAACAAAGATATTAAAATTATAGATACTAAGAGAAATTTATAATGTAATCGAAATAAATGTTTATTTATTTTTTTGTTAAAAAAAACTATGGTCAATTTTCAAAAATTTAACTGAGAAAAATTTTTGTAATTTTTATTGGAAATTTTTAAATGATTTGTAATTTGTTGAAATTACAAAATCATTTGTAATTCATCGAAAATACAAAATTACATATTTGTAATTCATCGAAATTACAAAATTACATATTTGTAATTCATTGAAAATACAAAATTACATATTTGTAATTAATTAAAAATACAAAATCATTAAAATCATTTCGAGCGCTTCTACAGTAGTTTTAGTATAAAAAATTGACAAAATTATACACGAACCTGTTAACAAAAATTCTGACTATACATACTTAAATAAAATTGAGAATGGTACAAAAGAATTTGTGAAAGAATTTTTTTTTCCCCCCCCCCCTCTTCAAGGAGCAAAATTACTTACTTTTATCGGTTTTCGGTTGGAAGCACGTGGGGCGTTTTGGGGGACGTTGGGGCTCGCATAAGCGAGGAATTGAATTACTCTGGGAGACGTTGGAAGCCGTCGCGAGGGTCAGTCGTTCGCATCCACGAGGCGCGAAGGAACTAATTCAATTTGGTAGGCGAGTGCGGTTCGCCTCTTCTTGAACGAGATCGAAAGGGCAACAATGCCCCGGCCCGTGAGAGCTTCTCTTTTTAGGCGGGACGCGTTCACGGATGAGAAAGGACGAAACATCACCGGGAAACGACCGGGGTAACGAAGAAAATTCCCTGCACACCCGCGGGAACGCTAAAACGTCGAGTCTT